GGTTGAGGCAAATCGCCTGGCTGCTGGTTACGCGCAGCCAGACACCAGGGCGGTTAGAAGAGCACAGGAGGGCGCGGTACGCATCAGAGAAGCTTTGAAAACCAGTTTCATGACTGGCCAGGCTACGGTGTGAAAGTTCTGTTTGTTTCTCCTTGATGAAACCCCCCGCCCCTTGGTTCACTCTACTTCCCTGTAAGCTAACCACCCGCCCCTCCTCCCTTCAATCACCGCTTGCAGAGGCAATAAAGTCATTGTTGCTTCACGTTCATGCATTCTTTATTCATTCATCATACAAATAGGGGGATGACTACCAAGGTAGCCCAGGAGGGGTGGTGGAGGAGGGAAGGAAAATGCCACACAGCACTTTAAGCACAGCACTTTAAAAGTTTACAACTTTAAAATTTATTGAATGACAGCCTTCTTTTTTTTGGGGTAATCCTCTGTGGTGGAGTGGCTGGTTGGCCGGAGGCCCCCCCACCGCGTTCTTGGGCGTCTGGGTGTGGAGGCTATGGAACTTGGGGAGGAGGGCGGTTGGTTACAGAGGGGCTGCAGTGGCAGTCTGTGCTCCAGCTGCCTTTGCTGCAGCTCAACCATACACTGGAGCATACTGGTTTAGTCCTGCAGCAGCCTCAGCATTGAATCCTGCCTCCTCTCATCACGCTGCTGCCACATTTGAGCTTCAGCCCTGTCTTCAGCCCGCCACTTAGCCCTGGTCTACACTAGGACTTTAGGTCGAATTTAGCAGCGTTAAATCGATGTAAACCTGCACCCGTCCACACAATGAAGCCCTTTATTTCGACTTAAAGGGCTCTTAAAATCGATTTCCTTACTCCATCCCTAACAAGTGGATTAGTGCTTAAATTGACGTTGCCGGCTCGAATTTGGGGTACTGTGGACACAATTCGATGGTTTTGGCCTCCGGGAGCTATCCCAGAGTGCTCCATTGTGACCACTCTGGACAGCACTCTCAACTCAGATGCACTGGCCAGGTAGACAGGAAAAGAACCGCGAACTTTTGAATCTCATTTCCTGTTTGGCCAGCGTGGCAAGCTGCAGGTGACCATGCAGAGCTCATCAGCACAGGTGACCATGATGGAGTCCCAGAATCGCAAAAGAGCTCCAGCATGGACCGAACGGGAGGTACGGGATCTGATCGCTGTTTGGGGAGAGGAATCCGTGCTATCAGAACTCCGTTCCAGTTTTCGAAATGCCAAAACCTTTGTGAAAATCTCCCAGGGCATGAAGGACAGAGGCCATAACAGGGACCCGAAGCAGTGCCGCGTGAAACTGAAGGAGCTGAGGCAAGCCTACCAGAAAACCAGAGAGGCGAACAGCCGCTCTGGGTCAGAGCCCCAAACATGCCGCTTCTATGATGAGCTGCATGCCATTTTAGGGGGTTCAGCCACCACTACCCCAGCCGTGTTGTTTGACTCCTTCAATGGAGATGGAGGCAATACGGAAGCAGGTTTTGGGGATGAAGAAGATGATGAGGAGGAGGAGGTTGTAGATAGCTCACAGCAAGCAAGCGGAGAAACCGGTTTTCCCGACAGCCAGGAACTGTTTCTCACCCTAGACCTGGAGCCAGTACCCCCCGAACCCACCCAAGGCTGCCTCCTGGACCCAGCAGGTGGAGAAGGGACCTCTGGTGAGTGTACCTTTTAAAATACTATACATGGTTTAAAAGCAAGCATGTGAAAGGATTACTTTGCCCTGGCATTTGCGGTTCTCCTAGATGTAGTCCTAAAGCCTTTGCAAAAGGTTTCTGGGGAGGGCAGCCTTATTGCGTCCTTTATGGTAGGACACTTTACCACTCCAGGCCAGTAACACGTACTCGGGAATCATTGTACAACAAAGCATTGCAGTGTATGTTTGCTGGCATTCAAACAACATCCGTTCTTTATCTCTCTGTGTTATCCTCAGGAGAGTGAGATATAATTCATGGTCACCTGGTTGAAATAGAGTGCTTTTCTTCAGGGGACAGTCAGAGGAGCCCATTCCTGCTGGGCTGTTTGCCTGTGGCTAAACAGAAATGTTCCCCGCTGTTAGCCACAGGGAGAGGGGAAGGTTGAGGGGGTAGTCACGCGGTGGGAGGAGGCAAAATGCGACCTTGTAACGAAAGCACATGTGCTATGTATGTAATGTTAACAGCAAGGTTTACCCTGAAAGAGTGTAGCCACTGTTTTATAAAATGTGTCTTTTTAAATACCGCTGTCCCTTTTTTTTTCTCCACCAGCTGCATGTGTTTCAATGATCACAGGATCTTCTCCTTCCCAGAGGCTAGTGAAGCTTAGAAAGAAAAAAAAACGCACTCGCGATGAAATGTTCTCCGAGCTCATGCTGTCCTCCCACACGGACAGAGCACAGACGAATGCGTGGAGGCAAATAATGTCAGAGTGCAGGAAAGCACAAAATGACCGGGAGGAGAGGTGGCGGGCTGAAGAGAGTAAGTGGCGGGCTGAAGAGAGTAAGTGGCGGGCTGAAGACAGGGCTGAAGCTCAAATGTGGCAGCAGCGTGATGAGAGGAGGCAGGATTCAATGCTGAGGCTGCTGCAGGACCAAACCAGTATGCTCCAGTGTATGGTTGAGCTGCAGCAAAGGCAGCTGGAGCACAGACTGCCACTGCAGCCCCTCTGTAACCAACCGCCCTCCTCCCCAAGTTCCATAGCCTCCACACCCAGACGCCCAAGAACGCGGTGGGGGGGCCTCCGGCCAACCAGCCACTCCACCACAGAGGATTACCCCCAAAAAAAGAAGGCTGTCATTCAATAAATTTTAAAGTTGTAAACTTTTAAAGTGCTGTGCTTAAAGTGCTGTGTGGCATTTTCCTTCCTTCCTCCACCACCCCTCCTGGGCTACCTTGGTAGTCATCCCCCTATTTGTGTGATGAATGAATAAAGAATGCATGAATGTGAAGCAACAATGACTTTATTGCCTCTGCAAGCGGTGATTGAAGGGAGGAGGGGCGGGTGGTTAGCTTACAGGGAAGTAGAGTGAACCAAGGGGCGGGGGGTTTCATCAAGGAGAAACAAACAGAACTTTCACACCGTAGCCTGGCCAGTCATGAAACTGGTTTTCAAAGCTTCTCTGATGCGTACCGCGCCCTCCTGTGCTCTTCTAACCGCCCTGGTGTCTGGCTGCGCGTAACCAGCAGCCAGGCGATTTGCCTCAACCTCCCACCCTGCCATAAACGTCTCCCCCTTACTCTCACAGATATTGTGGAGCACACAGCAAGCAGTAATAACAGTGGGAATATTGGTTTTGCTGAGGTCTAAGCGAGTCAGTAAACTGCGCCAGCGCACCTTTAAACGTCCAAATGCACATTCTACCACCATTCTGCACTTGCTCAGCCTGTAGTTGAACAGCTCCTGACTACTGTCCAGGCTGCCTGTGTACGGCTTCATGAGCCATGGCATTAAGGGGTAGGCTGGGCCCCCAAGGATACATATAGGCATTTCAACATCCCCAACAGTTATTTTCTGGTCTGGGAATAAAGTCCCTTCCTGCAGCTTTTGAAACAGACCAGAGTTCCTGAAGATGCGAGCCTCATGCACCTTTCCCGGCCATCCCACGTTAATGTTGGTGAAACGTCCCTTGTGATCCACCAGAGCTTGCAGCACTATCGAAAAGTACCCCTTGCGGTTTATGTACTCGGCGGCTTGGTGCTCCGGTGCCAAGATAGGGATATGGGTTCCGTCTATAGCCCCACCACAGTTAGGGAATCCCATTGCAGCAAAGCCATCCACTATGACCTGCACATTTCCCAGGGTCACTACCCTTGATATCAGCAGATCTTTGATTGCGTGGGCTACTTGCATCACAGCAGCCCCCACAGTAGATTTGCCCACTCCAAATTGATTCCCAACTGACCGGTAGCTGTCTGGCGTTGCAAGCTTCCACAGGGCTATCGCCACTCGCTTCTGAACTGTGAGGGCTGCTCTCATCTTGGTATTCATGCGCCTCAGGGCAGGGGAAAGCAAGTCACAAAGTTCCATGAAAGTGCCCCTACGCATGCGAAAGTTTCGCAGCCACTGGGAATCGTCCCAGACCTGCAACACTATGCGGTCCCACCAGTCTGTGCTTGTTTCCCGAGCCCAGAATCGGCGTTCCACAGCATGAACCTGCCCCATTAGCACCATGATGCATGCATTGGCAGGGCCCATGCTTTCAGAGAAATCTGTGTCCATGTCCTGATCACTCACGTGACCGCGCTGACGTCGCCTCCTCGCCCGGTATCGCTTTGCCAGGTTCTGGTGCTGCATATACTGCTGGATAATGCGTGTGGTGTTTAATGTGCTCCTAATTGCCAAAGTGAGCTGAGCGGCCTCCATGCTTGCCTTGGTATGGCGTCCACACAGAAAAAAGGCGCGGAACGATTGCCTGCCGTTGCTCTGACGGAGGGAGGGGCGACTGACGACACGGCTTACAGGGTTGGATTCAGGGAGCTAAAATCAACAAAGGGGGTGCCTGTACATCAAGGAGTATTTCAGGCAGGACTTCACGGAGGGTTCCAATAAGAAATGGTGCACCTAAGTTATTGTTCTTATTGGAACAAGGAGGTTAGCCTGGCCTCTGACTGATACATGCCTAGATTTACCTCGCTGCACCTTCTCTGTGAGTGACTGCAGTGTGACCTAGAGGAATGAGTCCCCTAGATAGGGGAGGAGGCAAATGAGTACAAAAACAAATCTGGTCTATTTCTTGTTTTGACCCACTCCATCTATCTTTTACATCTTTGGCTGGCAGCAGACGGTGCAGAAGGACTGCATGCCATCCACATCTTATGGCTGCTCGGCAGAAGATGGTACAGTACGACTGCTAGCAGTCCGTATCGCCTGCCCGCTCACCATAAGACGGTTCAATAGGACTGACTGCAGGACTAAAGAGAATGACCTGGTCAAGTCACTCCAAATTTAGTCCCTGCACCCATGTCTGCCCAGGCGTTTTATAAAATGTGTCTTTTTAAATACCGCTGTCCCTTTTTTTTTCTCCACCAGCTGCATGTGTTTCAATGATCACAGGATCTTCTCCTTCCCAGAGGCTAGTGAAGCTTAGAAAGAAAAAAAAACGCACTCGCGATGAAATGTTCTCCGAGCTCATGCTGTCCTCCCACACTGACAGAGCACAGACGACTGCGTGGAGGCAACGCAGTCGTCGTGGCCAGGAGCACCTCGGACACGACGAGGACGACTACCAATCGTATTGCACCGTCTACTGCCAGAAGGCAATGGGTTGCTGCTACTGTGCAGCAAAGCCGTACCACGTCTGCCAGCACCGAGGAGACATAGGGTGACGGTTACCTGAGCGGGCTCCATGCTTGCCGTGGTATGGCGTCTGCACAGATAACTCAGGAAAAAAGGCGCGAAATGATTGTCTGCCCTTGCTTTCACGGAGGGAGGGAGGGAACGGGGGCCTGACGATACGTACCCAGAACCACCCGCGACAATGTTTTAGCCCCATCAGGCATTGGGATCTCAACCCAGAGTTACAATGGGCAGTGGAGACTGCGGGAACTGTGGGATAGCTACCCACAGTGCAATGCTCCGGAATCGACTCTAGCCTCGGTACTGTGGAAGCGCTCCTCCGAGTTAATGCACTTAATGCACTTAGAGCATTTTCTGTGGGGACACACACACTCGAATATATAAAACCGATTTCTAAAAACCCGACTTCTATAAATTCGACCTTATTCCGTAGTGTAGACATACCCTTATTACTCTCTTCAGCCCGCCACTTACTCTCTTCAGCCCACCACCTCTCCTCCCGGTCATTTTGTGCTTTCCTGCACTCTGACATTATTTGCCTCCACGCATTCGTCTGTGCTCTGTCCGTGTGGGAGGACAGCATGAGCTCGGAGAACATTTCATCGCGAGTGCGTTTTTTTTTCTTTCTAAGCTTCACTAGCCTCTGGGAAGGAGAAGATCCTGTGATCATTGAAACACATGCAGCTGGTGGAGAAAAAAAAAGGGACAGCGGTATTTAAAAAGACACATTTTATAAAACAGTGGCTACACTCTTTCAGGGTAAACCTTGCTGTTAACATTACATACATAGCACATGTGCTTTCGTTACAAGGTCGCATTTTGCCTCCTCCCACCGCGTGAACGGATTTTGGTTGAATGCCAGCAAACATACACTGCAATGCTTTGTTCTACAGTGATTCCCGAGTACGTGTTACTGGCCTGGAGTGGTAAAGTGTCCTACCATGAAGGACGAAATAAGGCTGCCCTCCCCAGAAACCTTTTGCAAAGGCAGAACCGCAAATGCCAGGGCAAAGTAATCCTTTCACATGCTTGCTTTTAAACCATGTATAGCATTTTAAAAGGTACACTCACCAGAGGTCCCTTCTCCGCCTGCTGAGTCCAGGAGGCAGCCTTGGGTGGGTTCGGGGGGTACTGGCTCCAGGTCTAGGGTGAGAAACAGTTCCTGGCTGTCGGGAAAACCGGTTTCTCCGCTTGCTTGCTGTGAGCTAGCTACAACCTCCTCCTCATCATCATCTTCTTCGTCCCCAAAACCTGCTTCCGTATTGCCTCCATCTCCATTGAAGGAGTCAAACAACACGGCTGGGGTAGTGGTGGCTGAACCCCCTAAAATGGCATGCAGCTCATCATAGAAGCGGCATGTTTGGGGCTCTGACCCAGAGCGGCTGTTCGCCTCTCTGGTTTTCTGGTAGGCTTGCCTCAGCTCCTTCAGTTTCACGTGGCACTGCTTCGGGTCCCTGTTATGGCCTCTGTCCTTCATGCCCTGGGAGATTTTCACAAAGGTTTTGGCATTTCGAAAACTGGAACGGAGTTCTGATAGCACGGATTCCTCTCCCCAAACAGCGATCAGATCCCGTACCTCCCGTTCGGTCCATGCTGGAGCTCTTTTGCGATTCTGGGACTCCATCATGGTCACCTGTGCTGATGAGCTCTGCATGGTCACCTGCAGCTTGCCACGCTGGCCAAACAGGAAATGAGATTCAAAAGTTCGCGGTTCTTTTCCTGTCTACCTGGCCAGTGCATCTGAGTTGAGAGTGCTGTCCAGAGCGGTCACAATGGAGCACTCTGGGATAGCTCCCGGAGGCCAAAACCATCGAATTTTGTCCACAGTACCCCAAATTCGAGCTGGCAACGTCGATTTAAGCGCTAATCCATTTGTCAGGGGTGGAGTAAGGAAATCGATTTTAAGAGCCCTTTAAGTCAAAATAAAGGGCTTCATTGTGTGGACGGGTGCAGGTTTACATCGATTTAACGCTGCTAAATTCGACCTAAAGTCCTAGTGTAGACCAGGGCTGAGACTGCCAAGTAATGGTTTCTGTAATAGGTTCACCCATCCACTAGGACCTGGACTGAAACCACCAATTAATTTTACATAAAGGCCACAACAACTGATCTAGACTAGATTTTAAATCAGAGACTTAGATTATTTCTTCACTGGGGGGGGTGGGGAGGGAGGTGTGCTTTTTGCACAGCTGAGCAAATAACGTTTTTTTCCCCAGTTTTGATAGCTGAACCAAAAAAAAAAAAGAAGTCATTCATTTCACACCAAAACCCAGCTTTTTGATTTTTCTGGCTTAAGCGGAAAAATAAATAAATAACCAACCAAGTTGATTCAAATGGATATTTTAAAAACCAGATTTTGAAACAAAATGGTTTGTTTTAACAATATCAAAATAAAACATTTCAACTTTTTTGAAAAAGTTTTCCGCATTTTTGATTGGGCTGAAACTCTCTGCTGAATTTGATCTGAATTTGCAAATAGTTATGATCCCCCCAGAACTGCATTTTTGGGTGACTTTACTCTTTGTCAAAAAAGACCTTGTCCAGCCTCTCACATAGAGATAATTAATGTGCATTAGCTATCTCACTATAAAATCCTGAGGGAAAAAGGTTCTGTCGTTTTTACCACAATGTAGCTAGATAAGGTCAACACTATGCCCTACCTGCAGTTGACCTCACTTCACTATATCACATAGTGAAAGATTTTTAAGAGTCTTTTACCAATCTGTTGAGTCATTCATTTTCTCCTCCAGAAAGTATGTTAAGCTTCAAGGCCCAGTGCAATAGTAAAATTTGTTGAAGTTTTAAAGCCAATGGCCTGTGGGTGAAGGAACACAGCAAGGTTAGATGATATGGTCGCATAGGTGCTGGAACTAGGGGTGCTGCCGCATTCCCTGGCTGGAAGTAGTTATAATAACCCAAACATATGGTTTCCACCTTCAGTGCCCCCACTATAAAAATTGTTCCAGCACCACTGTATGGTTGTTAAAAAGTGCCAGTGACCAGTCTACCACTGGTGGAGTGACACAGGAAGTAGAACACTTGGAAATGTGAAGGCAGAGTGGAGAGAGCAGTGGCTGCTGGCTGGGCGCCCAGCTCTGAAGGCAGTGCCCCTTCCAGTAGCAGTGCTGGAGTAAGCCTGGGTGGGGGGCCCCAAGAGAAGCCCTTGGCCCATGTGCCCACCCACTGGGGCATGGCGTCCAGGGCAGGTGGAGGGTCCAGGGCTCCCCACAGAGGCCTAGATTCACCTGCTCCAGCCCGGGCTCCTGGGCCCCAGCTCCCACGGTCGCAGCTTCCCTAGCGTTCTGTCAGCCCCAGAGCTGGGTCCCACACTCAGGCAGCCATTACCAGCTGGGAACAGTCGAAGGGCAGTGTGGAGCTAAGGAGCAGACACAGCCTGAGGCGATAGCAGGAGATGGAGGAGCACTACAGCTGCCTGCATCATGGCACCAGCCACTGCCAGCACAGCAGCCACCCTGCACTGCCTGGCTCCAGCTTCTGGCATCTGACCTGGTCATGGGGCAGTGCCTTGGGGGAGGAGGAGGTAAAGCCAGTACTCACCTGAGGAGCAAGGCATGGGGCCACAGAGAGGAGCTGGGCTCTGTGGCAGGATTTTACGCCTAGCCCTCCTCACATCTTGGAAGAGGCTTGCACTGACCCCTGCCCTTTAATGACCAGAGATTACTTGAACTTGAGGTTTAGGTGTCAGCTGAAAGATGGCACCTCCAGCAGCACAACACCCAAACACCATACTGAAGCATTAGTATGGTACTCATTCAGGGGAAGAATTACACCTATTTACATTTTCTTCCTGCAGCACTCAATATTTCTTGGCAATACCAGAACTAACTCTCAACTCAATCTTGCTTAGCTTATAGGATCTGATGATAGACAATGTATTTTTTTTTCATGAGTAAGGCTGTGATCCTGCAAAGAGCTCTGCATGGGAAGATACTGCACCCTATAGGAGCCCCCATGATTTGACAGTAAGTTCTTCACTTCAGTAGAGGCTCTGTGTGGGTGCAGAAGTCTTCTTATACTGAGCTCATTGCTACACTGAAGCTTAACCGTGATAACTCTCTGGAGCAAACCCAGCTGCTTATTGACAAAGGGCTCCAGTAATAATGGAAAAACCTTCAGTGAGATGTACCATTTTACCAGCACTTAGCTTTATACCTTTCGTAGGTAAATTGGTAAAATGTTTTTCCAAGCAATTTATCCATCTTTGGGAACATGCTACATTTGAAGCAGGAGGTTTGAAAGTTCAGCACCTTTTTAGTGCTGTGATCAATAACAAAAACAAGCCAACAACATAAATGTCTTCTTGAAAGATGAACGCCCCCCTCAAAAGCAAGCCATACAAAAAGACTCTCTGCATCACCCCTCCCCTCATAATATTCCCCCTTGCTCTCCTATCTCAACAACTGCATTGATTTGAGTCAAATGTAAGCTGCTGGGCAAAACTCCAGGACCTATGAGTCAAACATTCTTTGCTGGCTCTAGCAGTGAGCCACTGTGGCAAGTTAGGTAAGGCAGTTAGTATTGATTTTCAGAGACCCTGAACACCTGCCACTCCCACTGACTGCAGCTGAAGTTGTGGGTGCTCAGCACCTTTGAAAATTAAACTCTTAAGCCTGATCCTGTAGACATATGTGTGCTTAACATTCAGCATGTACATAAGTGTCTGAGGCTCAATTAACACCTGCTAATTCTATCTTGGGTTTTATACCATGCCCAGCAGCCAGTACTTCCCATGTAACATGGAGAAGTCCCCATTGGACTTCATGGAGTTTTCTGCTCTTCTCACTTTCTTGATTTAAAGGCTTTCCTTTGGATATACCTCTACTTTTCACCTCTTCTGCTTGCTAACCTGCCCTGTACCTCATTATTCTGGTTTCTATTTGTGATTTGTATTGAAGCAATGCTTAATAGTTCTGATTAGGATGCAACTGCACTAGGTACTGTGCAAACGCAAGAGAGTGAAATCCCTTCAATTGACTTCAATAAGTCCAGGATCCCATGAGGCTAGGATCCTTATTTGTTGGTTTCTTATTCAAAGGCCAAAATAATAATAAAAATAATTAATTGGTGTACATTTAATTTTTAGAAATCTCAAACCAAACCCTAGATTGAGCTTTAAAACACTATATAGTCATGCTTTTAAGGATACACTTTTCTGAGATGCAAGCAAGACCCCAGTCTCACATGATGGAATTGTCTCTTAATTTGAAAAAGTAATATATTTGATGATGTGTAAATGACAAAAATACCTTTTGGATCACATCTAAAATGAAACATCTGTGCAACTATTGAACCATTCTGAAGACTCCAGAGAGCATGTCACACCCTGACCTGTAGATTCATTTCTGTGCAAAATGTGTCACACAACCCCAATGTGCCCCACCACTCTCCCCACATTTTGCAAGTGATCTTCAATAAGGAACTGTGGTTTCAACCCACATAAATGACAAGAAACTTTTCAGTCACCCCAAGCGACACATCCCTGCCAAATTTAGACTGTGGTGAAGAGACCTGGATATGCCACTCCCCGATCCAAAGCTTAGTTTCTTCCATCTCCTCCCCACTTACGTTTTGGGAATGGTTCATGAATAAGCAACTAAGGCTGACCTGGTATAAATAACAAAATAAGTCATGTCACCCCATGTGACACATTTATGCAAGCATTAAACCGTTATGAAAAGTCTAGGATGTGCTACTGCCTGACCTAAAGATTTATTTCTGAACAATCATTCACATATGTTACAGTCTCCCACCCTTTCCTTTTTCAAATTGTTCTTAAATAAGCAACGGGGGGTTCAACATACATAAATGACAAAATACACCACTCCTACCTTTCTGGGCTTCCTGCCAAATATCAGACCTGTACTTCCACTTTGCCTGGTCTTTCTGAGTAAACACACATAAACCCATAAAAAGCAACCAAATCCAACACTTCATTCATCTGTTGCAAATCCAGCTGCAATATTTTCTCAGACATTATTAGATAAATAATTGTGAATAAAGAAGATCTACAGAAACTCTCTTCTTTAGACAATTTAAGAACAGGAAAGATGGCTAAACACATCACATTTGTTCAGTTTTTTTTAACCAATGTGCAAATATTTGTTATGACGAGTTCAATCAACTATTTTCCTTCAGCTTGCTGTAATACCTGTTGTCACAACCTCCCCCTTACAGGGCAGCACACCTTATTCAACACCAGTGTCAGTGGCTACAACTGACAAGTGCAGCCTTTTTACGTCTCTAATTTTCTTCTCAGGACACCTGCCTGTAAATGTCAGGTGCTCTTGGATGCTTTTCGTTACTGTATTTTGAAGGCCCTTCGGATCTCTTCAAAACCCACCGATTGACTATGCCTCTGACTCCTGGGTTTGACCAAACACTAAACTTTTATCTAACTGAGTAAACATAACACAAGCAAAACAGTAACATCTAGTGACCGTCCTACTTCTTACTCTAGCAGGGACAGCCTAAGATTATAAGAGCCCAGCAGAGTTTCCTCTCCTTCAAATTCAACCTCCCAAATTTCCAAGTGAGGAGTCTGAGTGGAGCTTCTGTCCAGAAGTCCAAGTCTCTGTGGGTATGTCTACATGATACCTGGTTAGCATGCTAAAAATAGCTGTGTAGACATTGCGACTCAGGCTAGAACTTGAGCTCTCAAGCTCGGGTGGGGATGGATTTGACAGCTTGAGCTCCGGCCTAAATTGCAGTGTCTACACAGCTTTTTTTTAGCATACTAACGCAAGCCCCACCAGCATAAGACTGTGGACCTAGGCAGGGAAGCTAACTCCCAGATGCAGTGTAAACATACTCTGTGTCTCCATCCACCTAGTGGTATGTGTTCTTTTTGGTCTTCGTCCCATAACGTACCTCACTATATAATTTCACTTAACATTTATCCTATGACACCATCTCACATCCAGCAATTTCAAAATAATGTAGTTCATGCAACATACCCATACATCAGCAGCGTGACTGAGGCCATTTTTCTTTAGGTGATATTTGGAGAACATCTCTTCGGTGGCTGAAATATCTCCATTTGCTTTGCTTTAGAATTCAAAAATGCCATCATAGAAATGTCAGCTCTGAGCTTTCCCAAGCTTGTGGAAACATACGAAATGGTTTCCAATATTGTAGATTATTCCAACAACTTTACATCTGTAATGACAGAATTTTTGCTTTAATAAATACTTACTTTTCTGGCCAAGCTCTTTGACGTCCTCTACTGAACTAATCAATGTTTGAAATATTATTTTTAATATTAATGCTACATTCACATTACATGGAAAAGAGCTACAGAGGGGGCAGGTGAAGGCAAATGCTCCTAAAACCTTTTCTGCATAGGCAATGAATGGTATTTAAAATAATACAATTAATTTTTTTGATAGAACAGCCAAATGCACCTTGGTTTTCCAGCTTACTTGCTGTCATGCACAGAAATCTCTGGTGCAGGTGATAGCAGATAAAATATTCTGGTGCGCAAGGGCCAATAAAAGTGGTGATAAAAGTCTGGCATCTCTGGGGGAACAGTTAAGGTTACAGAGCATGGTCTGTATTGTTAGTTTTGACAGTGGTAGGGAGTGTAAGAGAAGGAATAGATTAGAGGACTTAACTTTTCATTTCCTTGTTTTTTGTAATTTTGCACCTGGCAGGGGTTCTCAAACTGTGGGTCGGGACCCCCAAGTGGGTCATAACCCCAATTTAATGGGGTCCCCAAGGCTGTCATTAGACTGGCTGGGGCCCAGGGCCAAAGCCCAAGCCCAAGCCCCACTGCCCAGGGCCCTTGGTGGTGGGGCTCAGGTTATAGGTCCCCAGCTCAGGGATGAGACCCTTGGGCTTTGGGCCCCCTGCCCAGGGTGGTGGAGCTCGGGCTTTTGATCCCGGGGTGGCAGGGCTCAGGTAGGCTTCGGTCCCTCCTCCTGGGGTCGTGTAGTAATTTTTGTTGTCAGAAGGGAGTCACAGTGCAATGAAGTTTGAGAACCCATAGCATCAGGTGTGTTAACTGTGTAGAAAACTTAACAGCTTGACAACAAAGGGGTTTGGGTTTTTTTTGTATCTTAATATAGATAATATGTATAATTGTAAAATGGAAAAGGTGTGTATAATATTTATACATTCTGATCCCTTCATCTGTCCTTTTTGTAGGCAGTCTACAAACCCAGTTGCTTATTATTCAAGTTGCAAAATGGAAGATGGGTGTAGGGAGACAGGACAGTGCTTTGCAAAGAAAAAAAAGTTTGGGGTCAGAGAGTGGCATGCTCAAGTCTTTCCAGAACAGTCCAACTTTTGCTGGATGTGACGCTTGACTTGAGAGGTCTCTTGTTATTTATGTGCGTTGAAACCACAGTTCCTTATTGAAGGATGATTTGCAAAGCAGGGCTGGCGGTGGGTTGCAGGGGCGCATAAAGCCCGCACCTTGCACGGAAAGGAAATTTTGGATTGGGGGCGTGTCCCGCTTCGCCCTGCCCGGCGCTCCTGCTCGGGGAGCGGGCTCGGGGCGCGGCAGCTCCCGCTCCTCTGCAGGAGCCCCGGAAAGGCGGGACGCGGGGGCGCCCGTGTGTCCGGGCTCCCCCAGTTGGCGGGGACCCCTGGGCACGGGCTCGTTGGCCCAGGGACTGATGCGCCACTGGCGTCCAGATACTAGCCCGCGGCCCCATGACAACCCTCCTCCTGGCGTCAGCAGGCCCTGCAGGGGTTAAGCTTGACCTGGCGGGGGTGGGGTGAGCGCTCCCGCGTCCCTGACTCGCTCTGCCTCTTTCGCGATGGGAAGCGGCGTGTCCGCCCCGTGCGGCGCGGGGGGCATTTGGCCGCCGCTCGCCTCCGTTGCATGGCGCAGCAGCCGTCGCTGCGGGTCCCTGGCTCTACAGCCCGCATGTCTCAGGTGAAGCCGCCCGCCCCGCCGGGGAACCTTAACGAGCTGCCCGACCAGTCCCCGCTGGTGGGAGCCGCCGTGGCGGAGCTGCGGCGCCTGGCCGCGGCTGACCGCAGCCAGCGCTGGCCGCTCGCTCTCACCGACTCCTTCCTGCTCAGGTTCCTGCGAGCCCGGGACTTCGACCTGCCCCTGGCTTGGAAGGTAAGGAGGGGCTGGGCGCGGGGCCCGAGGCCAGCTGGTCTCCCTGGGGCTGCAGCCGGCCCTTTCCCTCGGACCCCGCAGGGCTGCAGGGGCTCAGCGCTGCGGGCTCGACCGCCGCCCTCGGACGATCCTGCAGGGAGCCGGAAGGTGCATGCCCCGGTTGCTGTGTGAGATCGCTCCCCGGTGTGGGGAGAGGAGTACCAGACGCCCAGGCAATGCCTGCTAGTCTGCAGCGTGAGCCCTTCTGGTCAGAACTGTTGGTCTGTCTGTCAAGTGCCTAATAGCTTGTGTAGGCACCCTAGAAGTAATGCACAGTAATGACAATAGACACTAATCCCTCGCGGGGAAAGGGAGAGGCAGCTCATGAAACCACACGCCTGCATTTTATGGGAGAAATTGGGGCCGCTGCGTTCCAGGATAAATAAAGACAACACCCAAACTAAGGTTTAGGCCCTGCTCCTGCCAAGAGCTCTGTGTGGGCTGGATAGACTCACGTGGCCACAGGGAACCCTGGTGAAGTCAATGGGACTACTCCTAGTGCAGGATCAGGGTCGCGTCTTGGTGGTGTAATAACTGAGTAAAGTAGAGTAAAGGAAATGACTGTAGCATTTAGTAGGGATTGGACTGGAGCAGCTGTTTTGGTAGCTATAGCACTTTCTAAGTTCACAAAGCAGGAGCTGGATGCACATATCCAGCTTGATGCCAGAGAAGTGCACAGTATGACTATTAGCTTTCTGTAATCTTACTTATGCAGCATTGAGTACAGATTTAAATACCCTAATATCAGAAAGTGAAACACTTAAAGGGGTGCCATTAACATAAAAAATCACATTCTTGTCTTATAGATAACACCTGGAGTTACTGTAACACAAAGAGATTAAGAAAAACATATTTTCCTCTCTTTCTGACTTTGTTCATTTAGTGCATTTGAATTCATTCAGTATATAGTGAATTTCACCATTTTCCTGGTTGTTTATGTGGTAATTACTTAAAAGGTTTTTTTTTTAAAACTGGTAACAAGTTCAAGTCATCAGTGGCCCTTTAAAGTTTCTCAGGGAAATATTAACTTACCAGCATTGAATATGTGTTGTATTTTAATTGAAATTGATGTGGATGAGTTAACGTTGCCCAGCAAACCTTATATTTATATTTCCCAGCTGTAATATTGCCTTAAGCTATGATTTTTCACTTATTAATATATCAGAGAATCAGTATGGCCAACTCTGCATGTTCAAAAATCATGAGACAAGCTTGCTAAAATCTTTAATATTTTGCATTCTATTTGTCTTCTGGGTTTTGAGCCTTTGAAGCAGTGTTGGGCAGCCCACGGGTCACACGCGGTCCATCAGGGCAAGCCGCTGGCCAGCCAACAGACCATTTGTATACATTTGCATGGCCACCCGCAGCTCCCAGTGGCTGCGGTTTGCTGCTCCCGGCCAATGGGAGCTGTGGGAACTGGTGGCCAGGCCTGCACCTGCCCCGGCCTCGCGCTGCTCCTGGAAGTGGCCAGCATGTCCAGCAGTGGCTCCTGTGGGAGCAGGTGGTTCTGCACGCTGCCCTCACCTATAGGCACCACCTCCACAGCTCCCATTGGCTGCGCTTTCCCATTCCTGGCCAATGGGAACTGTGGGGGAGGTGCCTGCAGGTGATGGCAGCGTGTGGCGCTCCCCTGACCTTCCCCCCACAGGAGCCTCTGCCGGACATGCCAGCTGCTTCCGGGAGTGGTGCGGGGCCAGAGCTGGCAGGGAGCCTGCCTGAGCCCCACTGCACCACTGGACTGCTAGTGGCTGATTTCCCAGTTTGGCTCCAGGAGGGTTGGCAACCCTATTGTGATTGAGTGGTTGATCATAGAGCCTCTGACACTGGATCTCAGTCTCAGAGACTGAGACTGGAGATCACCTGTCTAATACAAAAATGATAGTCAACACAAAATGGGAGTCATAATTCAGTTCAGACATATCCCACCTTGTCACACTGGGCATGTCTGAAAATTTGGGCCTAACACATTATGGAAATATTACTAAAGGAAGGATGATCAGTTAGACATTGGCAAAATAGTGTATTTTTAAAATAACTGTTTATAATAACTCACTGGAAACTTGGAACAAACATTTTATACCAATTATTCTTCCATACTCAGTGCTCACTGGCTATTGTGAGGGTTGCTCAGGAGTGTTAGGCTGCTGCTGTTTTTTAATTAGAGAAAACCCAGCCTTGAAGCATTTAATTTTTGGTGGAAAAACCCATATCAAGGATTAGAGATGTTAAAAATCCAGAGGTGCATCCCATTAAGCCTGACACCAACTATTTCATATGTGGTCCTGCAGAGTTATTACAAAACTTTCTTTTCTTTTTTTCTCAACTCCTTTTTCTATTTACATTGGGTCAGAGGTGCACATGATTCTTCTCCGCTCCTTGTGGACCGTAGGATGGGCTCATCACACGTCTTGTAGTTCCAGTTCTTTTTCTCTTCAGATTTCTCTTGATGGAGTCTTTCCATCATATCCTCAGTCTTCCACATCCTGTGTTGCTATCCTCTTCCTCCTGTGCTTTCCTTGCTGGTCACTCTTTTCCCATTCTTATCACATGTCCATTCCACCTCAAGTGTGTGCTGCCCGGCCTATCTATCACTGAGAGCCCCAAGTTTATTTTCCCCCTAATTTCTTCCATACACCGTGTGATACAGGGTGCTGGGGTACCTCTCACTGGAAATGCCAAGGTCAGGGCAGGCTGCATAAGGGAGAGCAGACACTCCCAAAACTAGTGGTTAACACTAAAGTTAAACTCTTCAACCAGTCACAAACTGTGCTCCTGAATCCCCACACTGGTTATCAAGAAGCAAAAAAAGAAATCACACAGCCGCCTTTATTGCATTCCAGTACTCTGGCTCCCATTCAGCACATAGGTGCAGTAAGGTGAGGTTATTTTAAAACTCTGCTCACATATACAAAATGTTCTTCTGACCCCAAAGGGCCAGCCATGTTACCAGGTCAATATGAGTTTCGATCTTACGCAAAATACGAGGCTGTCAGCCAATCCTTTAGCATCTAAAACTAAAGGTTTATTATGAATAGAGAGAACAAGAAGAAAGTTGTTAAATGGTCAAAGCAATCAGATACATACAAAGACTTCAAAGTCCATATATCAGGTTCTTACCAGTATTGGTGAGTTTGCTGGCTTGAAAGTCCCTCTGGAACACATCCACAGCTCAGATGGTTCATTCAGTCATTTGTTCAGAGCTTCAGTATATAGAAAACTTACTCCAGAGGTGAGAAGCAGGATTGAAGACAAAAGATGCAGCTGCCTTTTATAGTCTTGCCATGCAGCTTGTATTTCCTTTGTTCCAAACACAAGCTGCCCAGCACATGGCATGGAAGCTTTAGAGTTCTCTGTCCACAGGCATACCACATGCTTTGCTGCTGACTCATAAGGTATCCCTCCTGGTTGCTTTCAAGGGGTTCGTAGGTGCCGCATGAACCGCTGGCTGGGGGAGGCTAGGCCCCAGCCCCGTCCCTTCCACAAGAGGCCCTGCCCCTTCTGCGTACCCCAGAGCCCCCCACCACAGCCCCCGCCCCAGGCTGGCTAGTGCCTGCAGCCGCCCCCAGTCCCAGAGCTCTGGGAGGGAGAGCGCGCAGCAGTGCCGCTGCAGCCTCCCCAGCGCTGGGAGGGAGAGTGGTGTGGCCCCAGCCCCCTGGAGCCCAGCGCGGCACCGCTGAAACGGGACCCTGGGTGTGGAGTGTGGGTGGGGCCATGCCTGGCTGTTAGGGGAGGCACTGCCTCCCCCAGCCTCCCTTACCCGCCACCCATGAATGGGTTCATTGTACAATTGATGTCCCTTAATGGGCCATCAAACAGGCGAGGCAGTGCTGATACCCCCAGACAGATTGGCATCACCCAGAAACACGGCACAAGTTTGGAAATACAAATATACCCTACATATCTATAATTCATAATACAAAGGTGATACGAACATGTAAACAAGATTATCATAATTGGCAAATTGTAACATTTTCTCAGATTGCATATCTGGTCAGATTCCTGGAAATTTTATAATATCGGTTTCAACAGTATCATAAATTGTCCCACATATCCATACAGTGTGTCACACACTCTTTCTACGCTCTGCTTGCCTGCCATTCTTCATAGTATATTATTTTTTGCTACCTGTATCTTCCTTTCTTCTATCTCAGTAAGACACACCATTTCCAAACCATAGAGCAGGCAGGAACAAACACACACAGCATACACTTTTACATTTTTACTTTTACTATTACAAAACACTGAAACAAATTCAATTAAGCAACCCGTCTGACTCCCAAAACCTTAATCTTGAAATGCTGGTGGGACTGTATGCCCTGACCATTTAAACACAGACTCCAAAAGTAGAAGAGAAAGTAACTGAATAGCTTTCGGTAAAGGATTACAAGGGTAAACATTCATGAGTAGGAAAGCGTTAACTCAGTCTAAATGGAATATTGGCAGAGATTTGTCTTCCTTGGGGTGAAGCGAGAAGTCCTTTGACACAGAAAAGATTAAGCACAGACAGTCAGGGCACTGAATATGTGATATGGCTTGAATACACAAACAAGGAATTTTCTTCTCCTGTGCAACTTCAGAAAGAAATGCTGGCAGGATGGTCACCTACTGGGGAATAACACTGGCAAGCAAGGGAGTTGTACTGTCATTGATTTTGCTGACACCTGTGCAGTAACTAATCTTCCTCCACCCTGAGGGAAATGCAGGCAGGGATCAGATGTTAATACTGCAATAATAACACCAATACTTAGCTCTTACAGTGGTTTTCATCAGTATGTCTCAGACTGCTTTACGGAAGAGGTCAGTAGCACTGTCCCCAATTTACAGATGGGGAAACTGAGGCACAGGTAGGCGCATTAACACTTACCTGGATATATTTTAGTGTTCAAAAGGTACACCTTGTCTGTGGGATCCACGGAGGGACTTGGGTGTTGCAACACTGAGCGTTACAGCACCAAATTTTT